TCTTTTTCTCCTTGTATTTTCTCTGGCTGGATTTTATGGAATGGTTTCTCGGAACAGCCTCTTATGTGGGGAATTGAACTTTAGTTGCGCTATCAGGGCACTGCTGACGTTTTATAGCTTTAAGTGCACAATAGTGGACTCATGTCCTAAACTGCATTTTTTCTGCACTGAAAATTCTCCTCTTTATTTGTGACAAACAAATTTGCTGTGGCAATATCTTCCATAAATCCCAGTGGAAACGAACCTGCTCGGGCTAGTGAGGAAAAGCCACAAGATATCTAGAGATCTGTTAATTTGTTTGTTTCTCCTTCCTCCCTTTGTTGCCTGAGCTAATTTTACTTCTGTGTGTCTACCAGGATCTCTGCATGCCTGCCATTTGGCAAACTTTGCATTCTGAAGTTAGCAGGCAGGACATCCGCCAAGTAGCATCCAGTTGCACAATGACAGCAGATAATGTGCTTTGAATTTTCTTTCTGCACAGAGGTCAGTGAACTTGCCCACTTCACTTGCCCGTTTTCTCACTATCCTGCACCTCACAGATAAGTCCTTGGCTGTTTTCTACTGACAGTTCTGCTGATATAAGAAACTTCTTCTACATTTGATGTAAATTAAGGCACCTGAACTGTCACACAAAAGCTGCCGCTAAACACTGGAAGAACTGGTGATGCTCTGCCCTCTCCCTCAGAGCCATTAAAGCTCTCTCATCACATGCTCACTTCATGCTTCCCCACTGAAATGCGAAACTCTCAGCACTGAGGAGTACCTGGGTGTCAGGAGCTCTTTAGTCAACATGAGTGTTGGAAGGAGTGAATGTTACTCTCTGGATCATCCAGAGTACACTAATGGCTTCAGTTGATCTCTACAGGGTTGCATTTAAGAGCAGCTATGCCAATTGCTTTGAATAGGTGTTTGAAATGAGGTGTCTACAGAGGGATTTCTTATGTCAGCACAGAGGCACAAGCTGGGTGATGGGCTTTCGAGTGTATCAAGGGGCAACAGGGTGCAGCTGCAGTGTGCAGCTGCAGTCAGGTTTCAGGGAGTCTTTTTTTCACTGAGAGGAGTGTGAGGCACTGGCACAGGCTGCCCAGAGAGACTGCGGGTACTCCATCCCTGGAGGCTCAAGGCCAGGTTGGATGGGGCCCTGGATAGCCTGAGCTGGTGGGTGGCAGCTCTGCCCACGGTAGGTGGTGGGGTTGAGTGGGCTTTGAGGTCCCTTCAAACCCAACCAGTCTGTGATTCTCTGATTTTATGATTCTATGATTCTTGGCTATGAGAGGCACAGACAAGCAGAAGACCTGGTATACCTTAGAGGGAACAGCATTGCCAAAAACTTCTCACACTTCGTTTAGTGCAACTCAGGCTCCTTGGCAGAAAGCAGCATAGCAAGACTCTGAGCACAGCCCAAACCCAGACAGCCATATCTCTAGACCAACATCCTTGTTGTCATCACATGAGATGTAATGTTGATATAATTAAAGACCTATCACTTCCTGCTCTGTGCAGAGTTCATCCCTCACCTTACTCCTGGATTACAGCTGCTGGGGCATTTTGCATTACAGGTATCTGTTTGTAAAAAGCTCTGCATTTCCTGCACAGCCCATTGAAATTTCAGTATCTAGTGGGGGGCTCTATGAAAGAAGGGGAGAGACTCTTTAGCCTGGTGTGTTGTAAAAAGACAAGGGGAAATTGAAAGGATCATGGCCAGCAGGTTGAGGCAAGTGATCCTGCCCCTCTACTCCACACTAGTGAGGTCTCACCTGGAGTAATGCATCCAGATGTGGAGTCCTCAGTACAGGAGAGAGATAGACCTGTTGGAGTGCATCCAGAGAAGGGTCACGAATCTAGTCCACGGAGTGGAACACCTCTCTTACAAGGACAGGCTGAGAGAACTGGGGCTTTTCACCCTGGAGAAGGGTAGGCTCCAAGGTGACCTGATAATGGCCTTTCTGTATCTAGGAGAGCTACAGGAAAGAAGGGTAGAAATTCTTTTGTGGGGTCTGTGGTGATTGAACAAGGGGAAATGGTTTCAAACTTTAAGAGATTTAGGTTAGATATGAGGAAAAATCTTTTAAGATGTGAGCAGCGAGGTGCTAGGATACATTGCCCAGTGATATGGTTGTTGCCCCATCCCTGGAGACTTTCAAAGCCAGGCTGGATAAGGCCCTGAGCAACCTGATCTAGCTGTGGATGTCCCTGCTCATTGCAGGAGAGTTGGACTAGATGGCATTCAGAGGTCCCTTCCAACTGTAAGGATTCTGTGATTCTATGAGATGGTTTCAAACTGAAAGAGGGAAGATTTAGATTGGATATAAGGAAGAAGTCTTTTACAGCAAGGGTAGAGAGGTGATGGAACAGGTGACCCAGAGAGGTGGTGGGTGCCCCATCCCTGGAGACATCGAAGGTCAGGCTGGAGGGGCTCTGAGAACCCTGATCAAGCTGTGGGTGTCCCTGTTCGTTGCAGGGGAGTTGGACCAGATGGCCTTTAAGGGGCCCTTCCAACTCAAACAATTCTATGATAAACTGCAAATTACTTTGAATAAAAAAAACAATCAAAGTCAACAATCAAGAAACTTGTTCTCAGGCCTTTGTATCTACAGTACAGGGGATCCTCAGTGCCAACACTGAGGATCATCTCCACAGTGCTCTTCTGTTCCAGTTATTCCTGCAGCATGCTCCACTGAGTGCAACTGTCATAATAAGCATATAGACCAAAACAGAAGCATCTCTGTTCTGTGGCATAGAAAACTGTCTGGACAGCTTTCTCATGAAAGGAGATTTCCATGTACTGTTTTTCTCTCAGCCTTATTAATCACAGAGACATTTATAAACAAAATATGGATCTGCAGCAGAATGTAGGCGAAAAGTTCATTCTGACAGTAGAAAGCACAGCTCAGCTGTGCTCATCAAACTGTTATTTTTCCATGTGCCGTCCAGCTTCCTCTGTTGCATTTGTTATAACAATGTTTGCCTTCCCACATACTTTTCCCAGTTTTATCTTTGTTTACAATCTCTTCTCTCTTTCTTGCCTAAGAGAAATACCAAACAAAACGCTTCCCTGGGTTCCTCTTCATTCCTCCCCTTTTTGGTTTTACACTGGCTCTCAGGATGTGTTCTGAAGGGTTAATCCTTTATCAAACATTGACAAACACCCAGGAAATTCAGTGCACCACACTGTCATTTTAAAGCACCTGTCCTAAGGTGCTAACATGTGCTCGTTGCACAGAATCAGAAGCTTTCACAGCACTACAACATCAATAAGGATTCTGGGAAGATGAAGCAGGAAGGCTGGTGAGAGACATGGGTGGAGGAGGGGACTGTACTTCTCTCTCCTTTTTGTTATTACTCTACTTGAGATTTCATGGGTAGGCTACAGCAGAAGACAGGGCATGGAGAACTCATCTGTCCTGTGGGCACAGCACAGAATCATAGAATCCTTTGAGTTGGAAGGGATCCTTAAACACCATCTGGTCTATTTCCCTAGCAGTGAATGGGGACACCTTCAGCTAGATCGGGGTGCTCAGAGCTGTTCCAGCCTGACCTCGAGTGTCTCCAAGGACGCATCTTCTACCTCAGCAAAACTGCCCTCCTTGTATCCAAGGATTCCATCAATGTGGGAAGGGCCACGGTTCTCTGTGCTGTTGTTTTACTGGGAAGAAAACAAATTCCACTGTGGGAGGGTACAAAAATGCAGTCTGACTCCTGTGCCTTCCAGCTGCTGGTAGGAACAGGTACCTGCAAGTAGCACTGCCTCTGTTCCCCAGAACAAAATGACACTGGGTCTTGCAGATCCCAGCTCACAAGGCAGTTTGCATAACATGGCACCAGTCTAGTTATCATGGATGCCATGAAACCTTTGCTGCCTAGTAATTTTGGTGTTATTAGGTGCTGCCTGTATAATGGGAAACCATGATTTTACTGTGGTCCTTATGTGCTGTCGTAATTAGCACAGAGTCCTTTAATGCTAGTTACTTGAAGTATTAATTCCTTAAACGTCAATTAAAAAATCACGTGCAAATTTACCTTTTCCTCAAAAGAGTTATGACTTAACATGGGGGTACTTACAACATGCTACTTAGACTTGCTTAATTAGTCAATCTCTGTAAAGGGCTTTCAAACGTGTGAAAGAGCCATCGAACTGCTATGTGCATTATCTTCAATTAATTTTGTGCAGCTACATCTTCACTACCAAGAGTGTCTTTAGAGTGCCAAGGAAAGGAAAAGGAGGCACTACTTCCAATTTTGAAAGTAATTGGTCAGAAAGAACTAATTGAAAGATGATCTGATGCTGTGGGGATAGGGATGAAATACAATTTTTCTGTTTCAGCCAGACCTGAGTATGAAATAATAATCATTCTTATCCCTCTTCTGTTTTGACAGTTGTTTTTTTTTAATCCTCTTTGCTTCCATCTTTGCTTTGGGTTTTGACCCTCTCTCATCAAATGTTAACTCCCTGTCTTCCATATTTGACATTAGTTTAGTTAAAAAGAAAAAGGAAAAAATAAAAAGAGCGGATCAAAAAAAAAACCACTTCAACCTGTGGAGTCACTGAAGTTACACACCCGTTAGTGAGGTAGCTTGTTCCAAACCAAGCCACATGGACATCACTTTAAAGGTAAGATGCTAACGGCCTGGAACAGAGCCCCTGCATCAGAACGGGGCCACGTCCAGCCCAGGGAGTCGTGTGCTCTCTCTCCATTTCCTGAACCACTCTGGTAGCCAATGGAGATTAGCTCTTAATGTGCCTTTCAAAGATTTGTATTCTATTGAGAGCTTATATGCTATGTTAATTATTCTCATTTTACTTCAGCCATTAATAATCTGCTTTTGGTAGAGCTCTCTCAAACCTTTGACAATAGGTCCTTTCTGCTAATACCCTGCCTAGTGGCAGGTAAATTTAGGCCAGCAACATTGAATTGGGCACCAGAAACCTGTTTCCTGGATTTTTTTTTTCTCCCACTGAGACTAACAAAAGATAAGAACATTTTTCTTGCCGAGTCTGATTTGTTTTTAGAATTTTTCACTTGCCTTTTATTTCTTTCCAAAGAATGATAAATCACCACTTCCTTGCTGACTGCTGAGGTCCCACATGTTGTGAAAAAATCAGGCAGCTTGTTTAATATAAACTTGCGTGAGCAGTGGTTATGTGGCAGTGTCTCTTTGTCATGGTTTGGATCATTTTTAACATTCGTTTGCAATATATTTGTATCACATCTTGGCATTCACTCAGCCATGATTTGAAATCCTATTCATTTACCTTAATTCATCTAAAAGAAACTGGAACAGAGAACAGACTATTCAATGGCCGCAACCTTATTCTCTGCATACTGTAAAGTAACAGCTCAATGATTTGCATGAGGCATTCCACTGGCAAGTCAGAGCCGTGTACTCAGTGATCCAGAACACCCCACCTTCTCAGGGACAGAACTTCTGGCACCAGACCTGAAAAACCTCTTCTTCCCAGCCCCTCCCCAGTGCAGTTTTAGAAAGGAACCAGTAAGGCTTGCCCACTGTTATTCAATCCAGAGGATATTCATTTAGCTGAAGGGCTTGATCTGCTCTATAACCAGGACATCTACAAGGATGCACGGGTACCTTGGAAAGCAGCTTGAAAATGAGACAGATTGTTGCAATAGGGTGCAGACAGAAGTGCAGGACAGCAGGACTGTCTGTAGTGCTTCCACAGACTGTCTTCTACTGTCTGTAGAAGCACTGAAATTAGCTTCTCACCCTCCCATATCTTCATCACCAGGTTGTTTGTACAAAAACTTACAGGATTTCGCCCCTTCACCTGGTATCCACAGAGTCTAAACCCACAGAAAGTGCTAGAGGTGGAAGCCAAAAACTATTTAGAAAAGTCATGGTTGCCTTGTGCCTCAGCCTAAGGACTTTTCGTCCCTATCTAAAAGAAATGTGATTACCAGTCATCATTTTATTCACCTGGGCACTTGTCCTACCTCTGAAAGAAAGGTGAAACAGAGCTTGAATGGACTATAAATGCAACCAGATCCAAAATAAAAGGGGTAGGTTCTACCCAGATACCAAAGCCTGATTTCTCTGAGGTGCCATTTCCACTGAACGAACCCAACTGCAGGAAGTTATCAATACTTAAACAAACAAATGATGGGCAGGGAGGATCCAGCAAGATTTCAATCAACAGTCCAGGATTCTTGCTCCCCTCTCAGTCATGAACATGCAAAACAGGGAAACAAAATCCTTCAGAGGGTTCTCTTTCTTACCAGCTTCTCGGAAGATCAATTGCCAATAAATTAAGACAAAACCAAAACCACCAAATGTCCTGGGGACAAGGGAAGAGGCACTCCTTCTCTGTCCCTGTCATGTCAGATGAGCAGCTCTGATATGAACATCTGGGGCACAAGTGTAGCCTCACAGTAGCACCGGTGTGACGTAGTTGGCAGGGAAGAGACCCAGTTCCCCACGCAGACGTCCCTTCCACCATGATGGGTTGGAGCTGTCTAGGACTTCTACGATGTCTCCACTGCGAAAGCCCAGCTCATCATGTTCCACAGCATCAAAGTCGTACAAGGCACGGACCCATAGTATTCGCTGAGAAGGAAACAGAGATGAGCAGGAAACCATGAGTTACATGCTTGATCCAGATCCTTCAGTGAGCTCATGCCTTCTCACAATGCCCCAGACCCCTACTGTGGTGAGCTGATGCAAAGTTCCTTCTTCTGATAGGTCGGTTAACTAAGAATGATTTTGAGTACAGTTGTAGAACTATGCTAATGTAACACTCTAGTCCTACCTTCAAAGAGCCACAGGATGAGATTCAAGTGGCCACAGTAGAGCCTTGAGACTCAGAAATGTCTTCTAAGATACATCCTAACACGTTCAATACACTGTTTCAAGTGCGACCTCTGTGCAGATGGCATTGCCCAAACTGCTTGGCCATCACTAAGGGAACCATTAAGTTGGGTAAGTGTAGCCCTGCAAGTATGTTACCCACCGGTGTCTGCTGGTGCAGTGGGTCTGTGTGTCTCCGTTGCATAGCTGCTGCACTTCCTTGGCTATGATATCTTAGTCCATGCAGTGCATCTTTCCTGTCCAGGCTCCCCCCGTACCTATCCTAGAAGGAAAACAGCAAGAGAAATGTCACAAACATTTAAACGATTACGAGTGAGGGGTTTTAAGAGTCATTGGTGGTCAAGGAGTCAGGGTCCAACCCTCCTGTAAATGATCTTAGATGTCTGCTTCCAGTACAGTCGCTGGGCTGCAGTCCTGGAAGCAATTCCTGTCATGGAAGAGGTCACCTTAGGTTCTTCTATTTTGGATTTTTCTCCATAGAAGTTGAAATTTGGCTGCCCTCAGCTACGTTCCACATCTGCTGGAAAGAAGCTTCAGTGTCTTTTTTTGGCCTCTGGAAGCTTTGGAAAAAAGCTTGGCCTGTTCTAAGTCACAGGTGAAAAGCCAGCTTGCCAAGGGGACACTTTGCCTATCTGGAGTTACTGAGACTCAGTCTCTCTACTTCCCTTTTCCTACCCGATGCTATACAGAACAGAGAACAGGCCTAAGAACCCAGTAGCCCAATTAATGAAAGAGGAAAAAAAAAAAAAATCAAAAAGAGGAAAAAAAACATTCAAAGAAAAGATGCCAAATGGCTGCACGTCTGAAATCCTACCAATGGAAAGCTTTGAGGAAGCAAGTTCTCTTCTGTCTGCACAGTCAAGAGGTGCTGAGTGTCTTCATCTCTACAGGCTGTATGTGCACTGAGGGTTTCTTATGATAACGATGTGACAGCATCTGTTATCATGTTAGCTCAGGTTGCAGCAGTGCTTCAGTGTCACAGGATCTGAGCGCTTGTATCAACAGAGGGGAAAAGAACAACAGCTTGTGCTTTCTGAAAAAAGCTATCTGGCTCTTGCTTCTTTTATTGGACTTAGTCTTCTACATGCTCCCTTGGTCTTACTTTGTCAGCATGAAATGTATCTGAGACTGGAACACAATTTGCACCTCAGCTGTCCTTGCCTGGAGGTGAGTGACTTCAATCTGGCTTTTCAGGATTTACTATATGGGTGCTTCACTCCTGAGTGTTTCTGCTTCGTAACAAATGTGACTCAGAAGTAGACTGTGCACCAACAAGTGCAGGCCCTAGGCTTTATCATAGGCCGTTTTGTTCCATCAGCAGTCCTCTGACAGGCTGTCTGGTGAGAGATCAGCTCTTTCACGATTGTCCCTGGCCAAAGGAGCTCTCGTGCCTTAGGGGACACAGGTTTGGATTTCTTCCCTTCAGCAGGACAAGTCCTCTCCTTGGCTGATATCACCCTGTCTCCGTCAAGAGACACAAGCCATCCTTACCACTATGGTTTTAGCTGGGAATTTTTTCACAGAGTTAATTTTTTCACAGAGGCTCGTGTTATGGTATGCACAGGATTTTTGTGAAAATGATTTCCTCCCAGATTAATCAAGAACCTTGAAGACATCACCAGATACTGCTGTTGTCTTCTCCATTCCTGTGCTAACAAGGGAGCAAAGAGGCATCACACATCAGGGGTACATCATGATGAAAGAGCGCAGAGAGGGCCCTGAATGAAGAGGAAAATGAGGAAGAACGTTCTGGAGGAAGTCAAAATCTCCCAGTGTTACCATAATCATTTCTTATTCTTGATGTGTTTTGTGTCACCATCAGCAGCATCACATAGAAAAGAAGAATAGGCAGTGAGGTCTCATTTGTCCCTCAGACTTGAGAGGAGTTCCTGAAACTGTGTACAAGACTGGAAAGTGTTTCTGTACATTCACATGGCACTAACCCTGGTCTTCCATTTTTTGGGATGGAACCCAGTACTCTCAGGTTCCCAGTGGGAAGGACCATGGCGAACCATTTTCTATTTTTTGTTTGTTTGTCAATCAGTCCCAAGGATCACAGAACTAAATAAAGCTGACGTTCATTTCAATCCAAAAGAGCTCCCCAGGCTGATACCATCCATCATTGCTGCTGTTCCCATAGGAAGAACTGATTGACTGCCTCCTAACACAGATTCAGGGTGGCAGATTTTGATAAAGTGGCTGTTCACTTGCTATCAAGCAATCAAGGCAAATGTTTTGTGTGCCCAGGCTTCATGTGCTCTCTTTCCTGGTAGAATCACAGAATATCCTGTATTGGAAAAGACCCACAAGGATCATCAAGTCCAACTCCTGGCTCCACAAAGGACCACCCAGAAATCAAACCATATGTCTGAGAGCGTTGTCCAAATACTTTACCTGTTGCTGGTGCAACATGGGGACAGGATGGTCCACATATCTCTTGGAGATAGAAGAATGAGCTTCTCCAGCTGCTCCACCTACATGGAGTCCATCCCGGCTCATTCGTTCCAGGCTCCCGCCACGCCTTTCCTGAGGGAAGAAAGATTCCAAAAGTGAGGTCAGGTTTTTTTTCCCACCGCGATCCTGACTGAAGCTTAGCAATCATTACCCATGGATTATTATCACTACCCTTTATGTTGGAGGATCTTCCAGAGATAGGCTCCTCTGAACGGAAGGACAAATCAAGACTCCTGGATTGTAGATCTTTGTCATAGTTGTTACCATTTGAAAAGTGGGTGGTAATGGGTGATGCTGGCCTGAAAATGTGGTCCCTTACATGAGGTTTGGCAAAGGAAGCAAACTTTTTAGAAATAATGCCCTCAGACTTCATTTGTCTCTGCACTGAAATCCGTATATGGCTATCATTTTATCATATGGCTGTAGCAGCTAAAAATTCTAACTGTGAACTGAAACCCTACTGTGCTGAGTGCTAAACATACCCTGCTGAGCCCATCACCATAACAAATGCACAGAGCCTTTGCCAAAGCAAACTTGACTCCTGTTTTTTATTTGCCTGTCTGCATCTTGTAGCAAATGCCTTTCCCTTCCTGCTCACAGTCAGCTCAAACAGGTTATTTTATTGGTAATCTTGCATACAAATCTTCCTTTCTCCTTCCCCAGACTATTCTTTGCTGTGCTCTCTCTCTCACAGGCCCCAGAGTCTCTATTTTATATCCCACTAATGCATTTTTAAAGTGCTGAATAAGTGAACTAAAAGGAGACAACAACACAAGTCCCCTCTTCAGACTAAAATATAAATCCTCTCTTTTTCAGAGCCAGCAAGAAAGACCCACGTGCAGCCTATAAAACTTCACTGCTGTGGTGAGCAGGTCCTGTACTTCCTGCTCACCTCTGTCTGCACATCCTGGTAATTTAACACCAGAATCCGTTTCCCAGTAGGGTTGGACCTTGGTTATTGCAGTGACCAGGCACGATCACTCCCAGTATTGTGTGTGCAGTGCAGAGCAACCGCTGCTATGGCATTTGCTTGTCCTCCTGGCACAAAACCAGGCATTCATTGGGCTGGGATTTCCCTGCTTTCTTATCTTCTCATCTACTACATCTTCCCTGAGTACATACCTTGTTCCCACATCTGCTGTGCTCTCTTCAGCAGTGCTTTTCAGCCCTTACTAGCCACTAGCCTCCACACCCTTAATTGTGTTCACTAACAGAAAATACATGATTCTTCTGAACAAACTTTGCACTGTAATAACAGCTGCAGTCTGAGTGTATTCAAGGACAAAAGGACATCAGATTCAAATTCTCCTCAGACAACCTAACAGTAAACTTTGTACGAGCCCTTATGAAAAGAGCTAGGCATTTCATATGGTAGAACCTGCCTCGCTTGTGCAAGGCGTCTTAGAATTTCATCTCCAGAGCCTCAGAACAACTTTAGCAGAACTCCTCTATGTGGATTTGAGCCCTTTCTGTTAATATCCAAAACAAAATCCGAAAATTCTGCTCAATTACATAACCACATGCACTACTGAATCAACTAAAAATCTGTGTTGCAGCACCCACCAGCACAGTGTTGTGGTTAGTTTTCCAAGGGCAGACCCTCTCTCACACTTTCTGCAAGACATTCCTGTGGGCCAAATTCCTTCAATAGAAGGGTTTCTTACTCAATAACTCTTGAGGACAGCTTGTGCTTACCTTCTCTTCTCGGCTGTCGTCCCTCAGGAGAATCTGCTTCTGCCTGGAGATAGTACTTGTCCTGTAGTAGTCTACCAGCTTGTTCAGTGAGTAGAATTTCTCTGTCCACAAGTAATAGTTTCCCTTTGAGTCCCTCATCACTTTGAAGTGTTGTACATCATCTTCATGCCTGAATCCAATTTAGAAAGTAAGAGATTAACTGGACTGCACCGTCATCTTCCTTGAAAAAGAAGGGAATCAGAATAGATCTTTCTGCCACTTGGCCAAACTGAGACTTCTGGAAAGTAAAGCAATGTCAGCTTTTATATGCACTGGACCTAGAGGTGGTTTTGTATTTCAAAAGACATATTAACTGACAAACATAGAACGCTGAAGGGCTGCTCAGTCACAGAGTACTGTCGGAGCGAGGCATGGGGCTGTAAAGCCTGTCCTCTGAAGGAAAGGCTTTCAGAGCCCAAAATATCCAATAGCTATTATGTACTTTGTATAATACTCAAACGTGCAGTTGTAATCTACCCCCTGACCTCTTCAGGTTCCTGTTAACACCAGACTGAATTGACTATGAGATGTATTATACCCTTCTGCACCATGGACATCACCACTTTGTGAAGACATAATCGCAAGACGTAGTCACACATTATAACTGCACAATATCTAGTGTAATATCATGTCTACTGGTCTGTCTCCCTCCCAAAAAGAAAGAAAACAAAAAATTATTAGTTGCTATTACAAGAAAAAATTACCAGTCTCACCTCCTGCCCTGCTCTGCCATGCAGCTCTCCTTCCCTTACCTCTTAACTGATTTGGACAATTCCTCTTTGGACCACATGTGATCTGGTGATCTGGTTTTGGTTCTCACTTCCTTTGTGCAACTCCAAAAACTCAAGGCACTGGTTTCAAAGGCTACATCTATACAAATAATCTAAACAGGGACTAGACAGAGACTGGAGTCTATCTTGTAGTGCTACAGTTACATGACTGCTGATGTTATTGCATGGTTTTGGCCTAAACCAAAAAAGTCTCCCAGATAGTGCAGCGTGGTGGCTATGGGTGCAGCATGGGCCAGGAACCATTGCCAGTGAACTTCTTGAATACAGCTATTCTGTCCTGTGAGGTGAAGAGAATTTAGCCATGTGGGTCTGAACTCTGCTGCACTGTTTGACCTTTGGGCCAGAGAAAGTGCCTGACAGTGCTCAGATCATTGATGCACAGGTAGCCATGGTCTCTTGAACTGGGACACAGAAAGAGGGGTCCACAGTGAACTAAGTGATCCTGACAACATGTTTTCCTGCATCCCCCCCAGATACTTTTTGAGCTTCTTGAAGCAGAAAGTTCACTACGCTTGGGAAAGGCAGTGCTAATCAGTACTTTAGTTTATAACTGATTATTGACTGAATATTGATTAATTGAAAATCTGGAAACTGACCAGCATTTAACAGCTCTGCTTTGAAGCAATGAGAAGGGCAGAGGTACAATAAGTGGATGTAAAGCAGCTGGGCTACTAGCAACTAAAAGCCAATTCTATCCAATCGACTGGTGGGAAATAAGTTAATAATGTAACAGTCTTGTCTTAATGGGTAGTATGGAATTCTTGGATATAGTAACTGAAGCTGCCAAATAATACAAATGGAAGGCACATGTTTTGTACTGTGGGAGATGTCCCATGTACCACTCCGCTTTGCTGCAGTTCTTTCAGAGGAGCAGATCTCCAGGGAATGCAGCTTTGGAACGGGACGTTCGCTGTATCACTAGAAAGGAGACTGAAACATTGGGGAATCGGGTGCCTAACTCATTCTCATTCATGTGACACAGAGGCACTGCCTGGCTGGAGGCATTCAAACTTCTTGAGAGGCAAGGTCCCATTAGGATTCCTGTCAAGAAGGAGCTAGGGAGATCATTAACCAGAAAAAGACGCAGAAAAGTGTTGTGAGAAGCAGATACCTGACAGAGATGGAGAAGTCACCGTGAGAGTTCTGACTGGCTCGGACAATGAAAGAACCAACTCCTTTGCTCATGAGGATGCTCTCAGCTTCGTGGCGGGATATCTTCTCATCAAACCAGCTGTCAAGTGGGAGAAGTCATGGAAACGTGAATAAAGGTGTGAATGAAGATAAGGAACAGAAGAGTTCAGGGTAAGAAGACTATGAATAAATAGGATGGCGCAAAGACAAAAGAAAGGAATCAGAGGATCCCACATCCCACAGACACGCTAAGATACAAGGTCTTGATGGGTGTGAACCATTTGCTTTGAGCAGTAAAAGCACTTAGATGCAAAGAGGCCAAAGTAAGCTTTGGCCTGCTAAGCAACACTCAGCTAGAAGTTTAATTACAGGCACAGTGCAGTAAGGTGTTACTCAAAGAGATTTTAAATTAGAAAGGTATATATATATATATATATATATATGCACATACATATGCACGTACATATGCACGCACAATTCTCAGACATACATCAAATTGCTCTTGGAAAACTGATTGAAAATTACTGGAGTGTGATGGATATATTGTGAGGAACAAACATAAATTTTTAACAGAAGCAAGGCATGAAAGTTTCAGTGCTAATAAATTGGCTTCTGCAAGACTTATAACACCACAAAATCTCAGAACCACAGAATTCATAACTACACTCATGTAAATGTAGCCAGTAGTATAAGGCACTGGACAAATAATGAGAAAAGTCACCATAAGATAGTAAAATAATACTGTGTCCATAGGAATTTTTTAGTAGAGAGAAAAAACATAGTGTATACTTCTTACGTCTGCAGGTAATAAGATCTGAAATCTGCAGCTTCATTAGCTGTTTTGCATTAAAATCAAGGACTGATAGTTTTGCAAGCTCTATAGCTTCATCTTTTCAGTTCTGTTATTCTGCTCGTCACCACCGTCGTGGTTTACCTATGAATCATCAACAGTCAATGGGAAATCAGAATTTAATCAGCATTGATATGAAGCTTCGCTGCTTACTGACAATACACAGTTGGAAAAAATGGTCCACCAAAAAAAAAAGAAATGACTTTCCTCCCTATATCTGGCTCTAGCACTTGCCACGAGCTGTTTCCAAGTGCAGATGTCCTGCTCTTAGAGAAGTGTCAAAGTAGAAATGTTTCTTCACAGCTCCTCTCGCACGGAGAAAACATCACGAGGAAAATGTGTGTGAAAATAAGAAGCTGCCCACATTTCCCTGTGGGATGCCTAGCGAAAGAGTGAACAAGCACAGTGCACTGGAAGATCTTGGCCCCTTGGGGCCTCAATGCAACAGCCCATCTTTGCAGAGCAAGCTAAGTTCTTTGGCTCAGCTGAGCAGGCGGGCTCACGTCCAAAGAAACCAGCAATCCCACCTCCAAAGGGAACAGTGGTGCTTGCATGTAGGGCACAATGGCTTTTGCCTGTTGAGGGCACCGGCACGTCACAGCCAACAGAATTGGGCTTGAGATGTGCTCTGCCCACGTCCTCTGAAATGCTGCCACGCTTATTTTGAAAGAGGACAATTTTAGGATCGTAGAATAGAATCAGAATCAGTGAGGTTGGAAAAGACCTCTAAGATCACCCAGTCCAACCGTCAGCCCATCCCACTGACCGTATCCCTCAATGCCACATCTGCACAGTTCTTTGAGGGGCTTCAGGGAGTATTTCTGCCAACTGCAAGGAGAAAGGCTATCAAACTGCAGTCTATTGGCATTTTTATGGCACAGGTCTGGGCAGCATGCTTAGCAAGCATTTCAACACCTCTCAGTCCTTTCTCACAGTGCCATCTTCCCAGTAGGGAGACAGACGTGAGGCACGCCTGCCCTGTGACAGATCTATGTTTGGGTGCTCAGACACAAAGCGTGGAGAGGGATGTGTGTTTGCGTCTGCACGCGTGTGGGAGCCGAGTGGCACGGCTGGTCTACCATCTCTGTCAATCCACGAGCTGTCACACTTGGTGCGGCGTTGCACTGACCTCTAGTGTACCGAGAGGAGCTCGCACACGTCGCAGGGGGAGGGAATGCGGATGACAGGGTGGGGAAACGAGAGAGAATGCGGTGAAAGAGTTGGGAGGAGGGAATTACGCTTTTATAGTTCATTTACAGAGAGTTCTTGCTCTTCCTTTTGTGCCCAGCCTCTGTCTCGGTCGCCAAGACTTCACATCGTGACTATTCTCGTTCTGTCCAAGGAGAGCTCCATGCAGCTCCTGTCGCATCCCAGTGGCATCCCTACGAGCAGCAGTAACAAAGGAGTCACTCGAGAGCGATAAAGAGAACTGTTCGGTTCTGAAAGAACAGAGGATGCTCCAGGGTAGGACGAAGGTGCGCTGGCAGAACTGTGCGTGGCTTCATGCCAGCCTCAAACTGTGATGGGCTGATGGCTGGACCAGATGATCTTAGTGGTCTTTTCCAACCTGAATGCTTCTATGATTGTGTGTTATAACCAGTGCTTCCTCTGTCATGCCTGCCTTGACTATCCTGTAGAAATGTGCAATGCTGGTGCATGCATTTCCCATGACACTTACGGGGGAACTTGGAAATCAATGAAGTTCTTAGGAACATAGCCCTCTTGGCTTCGGAGTTCAGCTTTGTACCACTCTTCCTGGGAGCTCAAAACCTGCAATGGAGAGACAGATTGAATAAACATGTCTCCTGAGAAAGGCAAAACTCACTAAGACACTGACTGAAAACCAGAATTTTGTGTAAAAATGAAAGAGAATTCCTCATATACTTTACTTCTTACCCACCTTAAAGCAGAATTACTGGCTGATGGCCACTTCAGTGCAAAGAAAACAGTGAAGAAGGCCAAGTGGCATTAGACTGATTGCTTGTTAACTTTATCCCTTCCTCTGAATGCCTCTCCAGGTGGCAGGGGATGCAGTCTCCATATCTCTGATGTCTGTGAGATGAGGGAAACCAGCTTGGAGGGACTTAATGGGGGTTTAAGGAGTTCTCAGTGCTGCTTTTAATAGTGCTGGATCATCTCAGATTCACAGGGAAAAGAAAAATCAGTGAAAACTTCTCTGACATGTATGGAGGGATATAAAGCTGCACCTGTGTGTGTGTGTTATGGCTGCACAGAAGTCATCCTATTCTCTCAACACACCATTCTGCACAAGAGTACTTAATAGAATCATTTGAATTGAAAGGAACCCTTAAAGACCATCTGGTCCAACTCCTCTGCAATGAACAGGGACACTTACAGCTAGAGCAGTTCAGAGCCTGGTTCAGCTTAACCTTGAATATCACCAGATGCATCCATCAACTCTCTGGACTATTTAGTGGGCTATTTAGTAGCCTAACTATTTAGTGGGCTATTTAGTGGGCTAAGTTTTCAGCGGCCGTGAGCTTTGCCAGGGTAGATAAAAGGAGGCAGAAAGCATTGTAAAGCAACACCCACAATTCCAATATTTAGGGCAGCAGGAAGCCAGCCTACAGAGCACATGGAGCAGCTTCAAGACTGTTCACATTAATGCTGACCATAGGGAGTGCACTGCTGACCACAGACTGCCCAAATTCACTGCTCCCTTGTGGATGGTCTCTGGTGCAGACCTCAGCTAGCAGGAAGAGGACAGAGACACAGCAAGTTCGTGGCTTTCCTGCAAACACTGCGGTCTTTGGTGTTCTGTTTGACATTCCAATTCATGGGACAGAATTCCTTTTTATAAAGTAGAATGTGTTTCTGCTCATTCTGGTTTTGGAGGGAAGCCTGAGAGGATGTATCCTGACAGTTTTAAAAGGAGAAAACAAGTGGAAAAGACTTTATTTGAAATCTATTGTTTAACAATAATAATACTTGTTCTATAAGCCAATCCCATGTTTCTGGGAGGCTAACATTCTAACTGCTTGGTGCTGGCAACAGGATGCTACTGTCTTTGGGGCTGATTCTCCATTGCCTTGCCTGCTACATACGTCTCTTCCATGCATTTGGATAAAGAAAGGTTGAGAATAGAAAGCCATGGAGATCCCTTCTTGTCCTGTTACTGCTTTCCCACCCCTGGGTTCAAGATTAAGGTTCTCCTTTTTCGCTGCTGTGGCCAACCAAAGGGAATGACAGCCACACACCACACCCTGCTCAAGTCCTATTGGCAGCAGTGTTTCTAGGACGACATACCTCCTGGTCCTTAGTGCACGACTGTCAGGTTTCTGTGTGTCATCCTCTCAGAGAAGGATGTGGGATGTGTGTGTGAGAGAGAGAGGGTAGATTTCCTCCTGTCACTGGTGGTTGAGGGCCTCGTGTTTCCTGTTTTCTAGTCTCTGCATCAATACTGTTCATTTTATCTTCTTCATAAATCAGAGCAGACAGCCAGCGGGTTGAGCAGGCAGCAGAAGGGGGCTCGGGATGGGGTATGAATGTATGTGTGTGTTTGCCAGATGGAGAGGCACTGCTCAGGTTATTTTACTGCTGCTAGGTCTTGGGCAGTGCGAGTTTGTTCACCTGAAGGACCTTAAAGCAATAGGCTGTCTGACTTCTGATAGTGAAGTCTTAGTGACTACTAATATTAATACTGATATATTTGACCCTTTTTCATCAGCAGCTTTCGATGTAATTTGAAAGGAAGCTCTAGTTTCTAATGATTGTACAGGAAGGGAAACTAACAGAAGGAAAGGTGACCTGGCCAATGCCATCACTGTAGCCAGGGCTTTAATGAAACCACAGTCTCCTGAGGAAGCAGATATCAGGTAAAGATCAGGGGATGGTAGGGGTGTGAGGACTACTCTGAAATTAAGGAAGAATTAGGAATGGGAGTGTTCATCAATCCTTCACATATCACTGGGGGAAAAAAAAAAAAGTCTTTGATCTTAATGAATTCTGGATGCCATTAGCTTTGTTTAAGCTTTAAGGATTAAAAGGGCAATAAAATAAGAAATGGTGCTGATGGAAGAGGCAGAGCCAAGCCATAATATCTGGTCATTAAATGGAACAGCTGGGTCTGTACAGGGAGGTGGTGAAGGTTTCTTGGTAGAACAAGATTTTATATCTCATTATTTTGCAATATCCCTTTGGCTAGTGGAGGAGTTAAGGCCTTAGAGAAATGTTTTGCCCAGTCATCTTCAACTGAAGCAGAACAACTATGTTGTGGGTTGAAAAGTGGGCAAATAATTTGGGTGGAGCAGAGTGTGGCTTCATCTTTGACACTTCAGTAGGGTTAACAAACTGTTTTACTGTAACACATGCACATCAACATTCAAGAGACTCTCTCATACTCTGTATTTCTTATGATAACTTCTGCCATTTTGCTATTCTTCCACTGCTCAGTTCCTGCGGGAGTTTGTGTAACATTACTAGCTGAGGACCTCTTAAATTTTTCTATTATGTATGTAACAGACTGTTTCATGGACATTTCCTCTTCCATTTGCAACTGCCTAAAGCCCCTGAGGCAACTAACAGTAATTACTTATGGTGAAAAGTTAGATGTAAGTTCTACAATGCATGTTAGCCATCATTTTAACAGTTTAAGAGTTGGAAACGAGGGATACAGCAAACTCTCTGGCTCGTATTCATCCTGCTTGCCTTCAGACACAGTCATCCTAAAAACAGTCACTCTAGACTACCTCCATATTCGATGAAAACAGACAGGATCTTCAAAAACTTTCTAACACAGAACTGGATCTCTTCCACTGCAAAGATGATTATACTTCCCCATTGATTGCTAGAGGACTACAGGACAACTACATGCATAATTTAGGGACCAAGTAGAGTCAAGTAGAGTGGACCCAGTGGAGGTTGCTGGTTGACCTATGGGAATCTAATATCCTGCATTCCTATCCCAGTTCATAGACATTAGCATTCATACGCTTTGTCAAGGCAGAAAGCCTTGGCAGAACATCAGCACTGATCTTTAGTCATTCTTAGAGCCACACTTACCTTCAGGATATCCCCAGCTTGGAAACTCAGCTCATCCTCTCCAGAAGCAGTGAAATCAAACTTGGCGATGGCTTCCATACTGTATTGGTGGCAGAGCAGAGCTGAAAGAAGTGTATGCAGGTCAGTATCTAAACGCTGCTGAGACTGCTGAGTCTAGCTTGCAGAAAGCTTATAAGCAGTGCTGTGATTTGCACATAGATGAGCATGCACCTACCATTAGTTGACGTTAGTTACTAGATACTGAAGGACATTAGCAGGCAGAAGAGATAGCATGGCCAAGAAGCTATAAGTCTCTCAAGAAATTAAAAAAATCCAGTGTATCAGCTCATTCCAACAAATCTTTTTCTCTGCAGCAATTTCATGGAAAAGTTTGCACACATCCCCAAAGAAGCTGGTAGCAGGAAAAAAGCCTTCTTCTGTGTAGACCAAGGACCTGACGCAGTTCTCAGTTAATCAAATGATTCTGTCATGCAATAGAATAATGTAGTTGCCCTCTGCAATCACTTACTCTTTATCTCAAGAGGGAGGCAAATTGTGGACAAAAAGAAGAGCTTGCAATAAATATTTTTTTTTCTTGGACAGGAGCCACAATTCTGAAGATTGAAAGAGACTTTCCTCTGTGATGGCTTTGCATGGGTAACCACAGCATATAGCTAGGAAAAACTGTTTGCAGAAAGATTGTCATCCCTGTTTTGAAGCTGGCGGAGTGTGAAACTGTAGCACTGACAAATTTAAGGCACGCACTTACCCTTCCTCTGTGTTCATAACTCAGGAGCCTGAAACATACCAGACAGCCTGCAAACCAAAGCCTGCTTTTCATCAGCAGAGCACATGTGGCACGGGAAGTCACAACATGAACTTCGCTTCTTCACCACTTCCTGCACATGCAACTCAGATGTACCCCAGCAGGACCACTTCTATGATCAAGGGAGTTACTCGTTTCCCATGGCTGGCTCGTGCTCCCTGCAGCACAGCAGCGAGGCTGCCAGTGTCAAGACAAAGAGTGAGGCAGTGCCACATTAAGCAAAGGCACTGCTGTGAGATGTTCCAACAGCCCAGCTTGTGAAGACCATCACACAGCTCCAGTACAGAAGTAACTTCAGTGGTTACTAAACTAGGTTCATTTGGAAACTATGATCCTGAAGTCAAAGGCTTCACCTAGCTTCACTTCCCACAGAATCTCCCAGACTGTAAGACTAGAGAAGTGCCAACTTGCCTGATCCAAAATATTTTTAACCAGAAAACCCAAAAAAGAAACAGTACCAACAACTCAAGTTAGGGAACTATTTCTTAAGTGTCCTGTTACAACTGAGATGAGATCCCCCCAAAACAATGTGATGAGTGAGCTCCAAAATTCTGTCACTTTTAAATTAATGGGCTACTGTAACCCCTGCTGTAAGCTTGCCTTTGACACACAATCCAGGGATTTAACTGCCTGTGTACCAGTAATCCAGGCACAACTGTGTAACTGACTCAAACTACTTAATAAGATCTAGGAGAAAATGCGTAGAAAGATTGGAAGGGTAAAAACTGCAGATAGAGCCATGGAGATGGCACCAACAGTAAATAGTTCAAGGATTCAAAAGGAAAAACATCATTCTGGAAAGATAATTTCACAGGAAAAACAACAATGGGAGATTTGGTCAGGACAGTCAGTCCAACTGGGGACCAGCCACAAGTCTTTGAGGTCACTGAATTGTCAGTGCCACCGCTGCTGACTGAGCTGTTGGTGGGTGGCAATGGAACAACACCAGGGTTTGGTCCCAGGGAGCAACTGGGAGCAGCTCTTCACCTGAGCAACGTCTGCCTTGCCAGCAAAAAACCCGTCCTACATCTCATTTCTAACTACAAGGAAGATCTTCGCTTGCTTTCTCTTGGATTCTGTTCACACTCTCGTTTCATGCTGCATATTGTAGTTGAATTGGTATTCATAGGACTGAGGTGAGCTATGCAGCACCAGGGCAGATTGATCAGCAGTCCACAGGCAGCTCTGCCTGTTGAGCATCCATCAACTTGTCCTACAGCAGTGGGACTTGTTATGTGCTGGGACACACGGGTAGCATGACACATAGCCCTTGTGACTTGCCACACGCCTGCTATTCCAACCCAGAGCCCCGAGGTTTTGCCCAATACATCCATACCTACCTGTAACAGACTATGTTTTACCAATGTACCTTATTCTCATTCTCGAGCAGCTTCTAGCCCTTTTCACTGAGTTTTCTCTCCATCCACTTACTGATGCTCTACTGATTCTTACTCATTTGCTCTGTGTGTGTCAGAGCTGCAAATATAGCTTAAGCTTGCTGTCTAATTGTCCGTCTTTTATTCCAAGTGCAACTCTGTGAGTACAACTCAGACTTGATCTGAAGACTGCCCTCTGTTCTTGCACTGACATTCTTTGCACTCCTGTTTGTATCTTCCCACAGCCATGCTTGCTGATAGAGAGTAAGGGTATCAAATAAGAGGGGAATTAACCATTGGGAGAACTAGATAAACAATAATACCCTTTCACGGTAGAGAACCAAAGAAAAAAGACCAAGGAAAATTACTTTAGTAAGGGATGTATTTCTGTATTTTATCTTATTGTGGTGGGGATCAGAGCCGATAGTGCAAATGAATCCTGGAATTCCTAATGCAGAACATTAATCCCATCTCAAGGAAAAAAAAAAAAAAAAGAGAAGAAAAGGAAAAAACAACAACAAAACACACAAAAAAAGAAATCAAAGAGAACAAATGGAAAAAACCCCAACCCCAAACCAGTTCAAAACAATAAACTGTATAAATACAAATCCAGTCTTTGATTTTTGCTCCTCAATCACAGGATAGGCAGCAGGGCTTCTCTCCACAGGGAGCAGGAAGGGGAAGAGCCTTTCATTTCACAGTCTCCCAGGTGCTAAAGATGCCACTGGAGACGTGACCCTCTCGAGAGGGGAAGTGTTTGTGAAACGGTTAAAATCTCCTCTCTCACCTCATTTTCAATTTCAGCAATCACAACCATGGGGAGAGACCAGGAGACAGATACCTCTTCAAACAATCTAACACATGGATTAAATGTGCTTTTCATTGCCAGCGGCTGGATTTAGAAGTGACTCAAATACCATGCACAGTGTTGGCTGTGTTGATAAATCAGCAATGCTGTGGCCTTAAGCTCTTCCCCCACCAACTACTAAAGCAGCACTAGCCGATAATCCTGTCTTTGAACGGCAGCCTACCACTTTTCATCACCTGAACTTCAAACCAGCTCTGTTTTTCTGATCCCATTCCTCCCTCCATCTGTAACTCGAGGATGTGCGGGTCAGTGCTGGGCCCTTGTGAAAACTCCCCTCCAAAGGGGATGTGAAAACATCCCTCTCTGCATGTGTGTGACTTTGAGCACCGCCCCATGACACACCGAGATGGGATTTTTTGGAGGCAATTGTCAGAACTTCCATTTCTCAAGAGCCTTTTATCCCAAAGGACAGCACTGCAGTTTGCAGGCAGTCAGATTCTGCTTTTAACTGCCTGGTGCAACTCCTTTAAGCTTTCAAGTAACCAAAGACAATTTTAGACTGTGCATAATGTTCTAAAGGAAAAAAAAATAACCTTTGTGCAGGGTTTAGCATGAAGTCTCTGCGACGTTTAAAGGAGGATTTGTCAGTTCCGAGTATAGGCTGACAAGTACCTCCATTTTGTGCTGGTTCTCTGCATGGAGGTGAATTTTCTATGTGGTTCCCCACTGCAACGAGGCAGATCCAAGGGGCACAGGGCTACTGCCATTCTGTGGGACTGACACTGCAGAAGGTTCATTGATGGAGAAGAGAAAAGCAGCCCAGCTTTGAGAGCATGAGGCAGGTCTTTCAGTTTGGCAGAATGCCATTCCCTGAGCAAGAACATCAGCCTCTCTCTGTTGATCAAAAGAGCTGAGACCTAAATCATGTCAGCAAGCAGCATAATCTGACAGCAACATCCCAAAGAGTTTAACATTGTTCCACTACACCAAGTTGGATCAAAATTCAGTAATAACAATGCCAGGGAAGGTCACCTCCTATGAAGTTTATCACTCTGGGATGGCTCAGGTTCACCCCTACTCAATCTCACATATTAACATCACAGAAGAAAGCACAGTGGCCTACAAAGTGGCTGCTTAAAGCAGCCCTATGAACAGAATCCTGATCTCCCTGCCTGCAGCACGCATATCTCCAGCAGGCAGCTCCATCCAGCAAGGTGTCGTGCTGACAGACACAGTGCGAGCTGCTGCATCTTTGTTCCTCTCTGCAAGAACAACCTATCAGACTGATGAGCAACCAGGGATGGGATTCAACCCTGAACATCTGTACAGAAACTCCTGATGACATTTCAGCAGAAACAATGGCAGAGGGACCCGTTATCTAGAAAAGCTGTGATAGATAAAGGCTTTGTTGTCACCAGCTAAGCCACATACAAGTGGCATGGGAATATTTCGTTCCAAAAACACAAACCTCTTGCTACTGAGTTAACGGCGCAGCTCCGCTGACTGTCAGTGATAAGAGGGTAAAATTTATAAGGGAGAACAAGCTACTAAAGCACTCAGCATTGTATGTTTCAGTCTTGGCTGCACTGCCATCCAAAGGAATGCAGGGCTCCGGACTGAGCCCTTGTACAATGCTCTGACAAAATGAACCTCCAAAGAATAGGATCCAGAGAAGGAAAACACTTTTAGGGCTCTACGACCAACAGCAGTCAGTAACCCAAGTGAGGACAGCTCTTGATCGCCCTGGGAAGACCGGGGCCTCTTGTGCTGCTCCAAGCACGCAGAGCAGAGCAGGGCAGCACCATGAGACGCCATGAACAGGCAGCACCGAAGAGTACCACAACTCTGAACAATGTTGTGAGCGCATAACATCATGAATCTTTGCTGGTGCTGAGGACCTGGGCTGAGGAAAGCATTCTGCCCCACCTCCTCCTGCAGCTCTCAGCTGGTTGGATGTGACCGCAGTGCAGGGATTTGTCCCGCACAAGCACTGCTCAGGTGTGGAAGCCGCCCAACAAGATGACAGGGATCCCGTGCTTTTCCCCTGCCCTGCAGTGCTTTACCTCTCCCTCCAAGATCCCACCTCCCTCTGTAGAGCTTTTCCCACACAGCTTGGCCCCCCAGGTCTCAGAGCCACGCTTGCCCCATACCTTTTTTCAGTAGCTCTCCTCTCCTCTGGCACTTTTCTAGAAAGCAGGAGGTGTACTGCTGTCTAGGGGAAAGGAAGGAAAGGAGAGCTCAGCCCATACAGGCTCCTCCCTGCAGTGACAGTGCCACAGTGGTAATGGGTCCACGTGCTTGGACAAGGACGGTCAGGAATTGGCATGGAGGACAGAGGTGGAGGCACTGAAACAGTCCATCACAGGCCATTTTCAGTCTCTAAAGTTGGAGATACTCGGTACGATACATGCTTTTAATGGTGCTGTCAGTTTGCTGCTGCTGCCTCAGCCCATCGTTGTTTAACAGCCAAATAATGGAGGGTATGATCCCTCAAAAAATGTGAGTTCTACCCAAATATAGAAAACAGAAAAGAGCATAGATCTGGCGAGTTAAATGAGAAACCATAATAAGTCCATTGAAAAGCATATCTTGAGGAACAAGTAGCTGAAGACATAAAAACATGTAATAAAATTATTTTCAAAGACAACAGAAGCAGGAAGCCTGCCAGAGTGTCTGTAAGGCTGACAGATGATTGAGATGTAAAAAGAGTGCTCAAAGAAGATAAGGATGAAGCATAAAAGCTAAGTGAATTCTCAGCATCCGCGTGTCTTCCAAAGGGATGTAAGCTGTTTCCCACATTGGGGTTTTCTTTGTGGAGAAAAGCCAGGGAAAGTAGAAGAAGTGATTTTAGGACAAATCAGTAAATGAACAGAAGTAAATCCAATAATTCAATGTTTTAGAAATCTTGATTGAAAATTAAACGGAGCATGACATAGTAAAGGTTGAGCAATTAAGCTGTGGCATATAATGTAGGACTTAACTCAGTCTCCATATTAGGGCAAAAAGCAGCAAACACAACGTCAACCATTTTAAAAGTGCTTTGAGGGGATGCAAAGAGCAGGAGGTCTAACTTCTGCATGCCTGAAATTAATACACAGAAACCATAATGAAGGAAAAAATTACCGGGAAGAGAGAAATGACATAGCGGTTGCACCTTGTAGGTTTTGCAGAAGGAAGTACTACTGTACAAATCTGATACAGTTCTGTGAAGGAGATGCTGAGCATGTGGGTGCAGGTGATCATTTGATGTAACATACATTCATTTCTAAACCCTTTTTGATGAAGTCTCTTACTGAAGAGTCTTTAAAAGCCTCCCTCCTAAGCTCTCCAAGAAGAGGAAAGATCCTACAGAGGATTAACAGCTGAATAAATAATAGGGAATGAATTAACAGTTCAACATATTCATAAATGCTATGGAAAAAAATGAAGTGACAAAGCTTACTGACGAGACAAAAAAAATTCATGGTAATACAAATTAAACCCGATCACAAAGACTTGCAGATGGCTTTCAAAATACTGCTAAAATGGAAGATGAATCTCTGCGCTCACGGCTAGAAAGTAATGGACGTGGGAATAAACTGCCTTCACTACAATGAAGACATTGAGAAACTTAAAGTTAGCAACTACTACTCAGGAAAGATACCTATAAGCTCCTGTTGATAATTCTGTCAAAGCGTTAGCTGAGTAAAAGTCAGAAAGGTGGGTTTGGAAATGTCAGCAAAGGAACAGAGAACAAAACGCAAAACAACGTTATGTCTAAATCCATGGGGCACCTGTATGAATATTTGTAACTCAAATTTGGCAGTTTTCTACTCTCCCCCTCAACAACAGAGGCAGTAGTAGGTAGAAATAGAGAAAGTCACTAAGGATGACCAATCACCATGCTGGATCAGTCCAGCAACAGATGAGGCTGTCCCTCCACCCTTTGGTAGGGAATAACGTTCCTGGAAGAGCTGATAGTGATATCTTCTGAAGAGGATAATCCCCAGTATATTTTGCTGAAGGAAGTATACAGGTGAGGAAAATGAGGCACCATGAGAACTGTTTAGCAGCTAGCTCTCATCACGTGCCAAAAAGTGTGGCTATCACTGTACACATCAGAAATTAAAGCTTCTGTACACGTCGGGTGGGACACCAATCCCTACAGTCCTCTTGGATTCAAGCTGTATTTATTTTCATGCTCCGTGAATGGCCTGACAGATTTCATTACATTGCACATTATAACGACCTATTTCCTCTGTTTTTACCGTGATGTGATCTAACAGGCCCCCCAGAAAGAGAGCTGCTGTGAGCTGTCACTCATGCCTGCTGCCTGGCACTGCCAGCATGCACTGCCTGCCTTCCTGCAAGGCGTCCAGAATGGTTACGTGAAAATAATGAACATATTTCAAGTCAAACCCTACAAGACATGGTTTTCCTTACAACAAATGAAAGACTGAATGGCAGCAGGCCCTCAGCAATGAGAAAGGATAGGGAATAAGACAGGGTAAGAGCTAACTCTCTTTTCTTTCTTTTTTACTTCTATACATTCCTCCCTTCTCACTGTTATAACAACTCTTCACCAAGCAGCACAGATGTGTCAAAAACTGCAAAGCACCACCCAGATATCCCAGGCACAATGAACGGTAACAAAAGCCACAGAAAAGGTTGTAGGCCCCATGTTTCCACGTTTTAGCCAAGCTCTCTTAGGCAACTGAATAAAGTCCTATCCAAGCACACAGGTTATTCTGCAACCACTTGCTGCAGACTGCTTACATCATCCTCAGGAACATCTTCTACCATCAGAGAGATGGGACAGGTGAACTAATGTTTCCCAAACCTATAGATAGACTGATAGACTGAAGAAGGGGATGCTCATGGGAGACCTTATTACTCTCTGCAGTAACCTGAAAAGATGTGGTGAGGTGGGGATCAGCCTCTGCTCCCAGGTAACAGAGGTAGGATGAGAAAGAATGGCCTCAAATTACACCAGCAGAGAATCAGGTTGGATGTTAGTGGCACAGGCTGCCCAGGGAGGTGGTGGGATCACCATCCCTGGAGGTGTTCCAGTGTGGATGTGGCACTGAGGGACACAGTCAGTGGGCATGGTGGGGATGGGCTGATGACTGGACTGGGTGATCTTAGAGGTCTTTTCCAACCTTACTGATTCTGTGATTTTAAAAAGTTTCCAATAAACTTACACCTGTATTTATCCTTAAGCAAATGACTCAATCGTGTCTGCAAACATGCCTGAAACCTGCCCATGAATAAACTCTTACAAAAATTTTAGCCATTTCATTTTGAGCTGGAGATTTCAAGAAAAAAAAAAAAAACTTTTTCCAAGGCATTTTGTTCACTTTAATTTCTATCTGGAAAGGATGGGGACTGCCAGAAAAACAAAAACAAACAATTGGAAGATAAAAGAGAGAAGGAAATTATTCCAACAAAAAGGTATGAGTCAAACATTTTGCCCATTCCAAATTGTTTGTGTTGATAGTAGAAGAAAGATGAAGTGACTGTGTTTTATTTGTCCTCAAAGTACACTATTTCTCCATGTTCCTAATGAGTTTTCCTCTAGAAAGTATCATTACCAGCAAGGGAAACTGAAGTTGGACTGTGGAAACAAGGGAAATTTCAATTGCTATATTTTGTTTTAAGTAATAACTCAGCATCTGTGGATTCAGGAGCATCAGGGCTGTAAATCCACATAAAGCTGAATGTTATGAATGGAAGCTGTCTGTTCTTACCCGATCTCCCATCTATTCTTGTCCCACACTCAGATGTGCTCTTCACACAACAATCCATCCTCTCTCACTGCTTTGCTTTCTGCAAACAGCTGCTCCGGCTGTCCGCAGTGACAGGTCATTAGCGGGCAGTTATTTTTTCCAGGACTGAGTGCACAGGAGTGGCAGGGCTATAAAAGCTTTTCTGCAGAGCTCCACAAACTGATCTGGGCAGCGCTCCGTCCCAGTTTGCTTTCTCTCCTGTTAATAAAGATTTTCTTGAAACCTTGTTGCTCAAACTGCACTGGTTTGTTCACATCACAGGAGTTTCAGACAGCTCTCTCTGTTCTACACATGCTGGGAGAGTGTACAACCTTAACTGCCTGGTACCATTAACATAGCACCACTCATTGCAGAGAGATGCGGCTTTCATCCTGAACAGCGGTGCTGTTTTGCTAGCAGATTCAAGCAAGCCTTCCTATTATCCTGTTAATTCATCCCCAAAGACACCTCCTACCATGCTGGAGGATGAGCATCTCTGCACTTCTGAGAGATTTTTTTTGTTGCGAATATATTGCTATGATCTGCTACTTTTATGTTCTAAACGAGCACTGTCAAACTTGATGAGATTAAATATTTTCTTCAAAATCCCTCCAAATGCGCTCACTTTATCTTCTGTTTTCCCCAACCCGTACCTCCCGATTACTGAATTCTTTGAGTCTCACCAGTAGCTTTTTGCAGAATCAGATAGGTTCTCCACCTTCTGTATTTGTAGAGTGATTACACTGAACCATGCTCATGACACCTCAGATCATCATCTTGACAGCAATTACAACATCTCAAGCACTGAACCTTCGCAGAAGTGACTGGATTAGCAGAGGAGAAAGCAGCAGATTACGATAGAGAAATGGAAGTTCTGACCTCTTTTCTTTACTGTCAAACAATTCTCCTGGATTTCCATAGATTTCTTTTAACTGCTAGCTGTGCAAGGGTTGAGGCAGAGGCAACTGCCTTACAGCTGCTGTGCTGACACCTGCTTTGAGGACACAGCGTGCCCACTGTGCTGTGCAGTGTTCTGCCTCAGAGGTTTTCAACCTGGAGGCCATGATCTACCTTAAAATAGAATCATAAAGGTTGGAAAAGACCACTGAGATCATCTAGTCCAGCTAGTGACTCATAGCTGCCATGCCCACTAAGTTTCTACACATCAGGCCAATGAAGATATCAAGGAAGCCTCTGTTCACCTCATGTCAGTTTGCACCTTCACTGGGAAATATGGATAAATCTGCAAGCCCAAAGAAGTTTGGAGACCACAGGAAAAGATGAGCAGAAATACACTCTTCATAACAACATGTTTCCCAAGCCTGCTACACTGATCTCAGCTAAGAGCTATAGAAGGCCAGCAGTCCAGGGCCAGAACCAGTGCACCATGCAGCCTGAGCTCTGCTCTGGAGCTCTTCCCTGTCAGGACTTGTTCTCTAATCATCCTCAGCATCAAGACATTTAAGAAAGCTTTCTCCTTAGTGCTCTCTTGGGAGCCAACACCACCTCTTTCAGCTTCATCTTGAGTTAAGCAGCTGGTTTCCATCATCATCTACAAACTATACCAAATTACACCGGCAGCACATTTGGCTTGTCCGAATTTATAAAACATGGAACTGTTCTTTTTATGTGTTCAAATCCAAACAACTGTCAAGTGAAGACAGAGAGAAGCACTGCTACTGATAGAAGGAGCCTCTTTCCAGACTACAACTTACCACCTTGCTTTCTGAACAGTAACAATTAGCAAAGCCCTACAGGCTATTGGAGCCGTTTCCTGTG